AATATAGTATCCTAACTAACTACTATGAGTTAAAATTAATTATACTCTTTATGTATGTCAAAAATATTTTAAATTGCTTTCATTAATAATGATATAATTGATGTTAAAAGTTTTTATTTTATAAATATATTTACGAAATATTTCATATTAGGTAAATTAAGAATATATATTTAGAATACTTATATCATAAATACTAGATTGAACATTTTAAACATGTATATACCTTGAATGGTTTTGAAAAAAATGATATTGAATTTAGATTTAAATAGTAGATAATATAGATTGGTAATTACCATTACCATACCCTACCGTACCGAAATTTTGGTATGCCGAAATCGGTATACCAAAGTTTTTGGTAGGGCAATGGTAATGGATTTCATAATACCGAAATTTCGGTAATGGTAGTGATACGAGAGATTTGGTACGGCTGCCCTACCAAACCCACCCCTATATACAGTTGGTTGCAAGTGGCTTCATTACCAAACAAGAAAATGAACACCATTCGGACAATTCCTTCTTGGTCTTATAGAATCTTACCCAATTGCTCTCAAATATTTACATTAAAATGTACCCAAGTCCCTAAATTAATATGTAAACCCCACTTATACAAGCCACAATTAACCATAAGCATCACGGGATACACAGCCAAGTAAGATCTTCCGTCGATATTATCACAAGATACTAATAATTGATCAAGAAAAGTAATGTAACTATCGCGAAATTAAGACTATCTTATCTGATCAGATAATTGAAAAGTAATTTATTATTAATGAAATCGATAATTTATGAAGTTCACAACTGCCAACCACATTATCGGCTTTACTCGTTTTGGCAAATTTTGTCAAAAGAATTTGAATTTGAAGTCATTATCATAAGATATTGATATCCTCAGACAGTTCTGGAGGCAAATAAAGAACTTATTGTAAAGCTCTAAAAACATTAACCAGACCAAAAACAGCATATATAATACTAAGAAATGCAAATCAGTAAGTAAAAAAGGGAAAACGAAACTCAATTTCATGTCTAAGACAACAGAAACTAAATTAACTGCAAGTTTAAAATTTGATCGGGACAAAGCATCGAAAAATGTGTTTGAGATCAGAAAACTGAGTACAAAAATAAT